AGGTTTGTGGAAGAAGGTGGGACATGAGGAAGCATTTATTACTGTGTGCTGGGTAGGCGCTGTGCTAGCTACTATGGAGACCGAGGCAAGGAGACATGGTCGTCATCCTCAAGAAGCACCCCCCATGACCACCATGAGCACCATGAGCACCATGACCATAAACGCCCACAGAGCCTTTTGTTCTCTTCTCTTCCTCCATGAAACCTGCTGCCGGGAAAGCAACGGTAAGTTAGGCTACACTGAGCAGCTGAGCAGGTAAACACCCGGGCCGTCGGTTGTCTCTCACTGTCCTCTCTCTCTCTCTTACTGTAGTAACGAGCACCCCCCACTCCTTCCCGCCACATCCACCCCCAGTTTTGGCTAGACACGTGACTGCCCAGCCAGAAAAAGGATTTCTCAACCTACCCTGAAGCTAAGTATAGAGCATGTGATTATGACCAATGAAATATGAGTGGAAATATGTAGCGACTTTTGGGGTACGCCCTCCGCTCCCTCCTTCCCGGTTCCTGTGGGCTGGGATGCAAGCATGGAGTGTAGTGGTGAGCAGGCTTCACACCCAGGGCGAGGGCCAACACCTTCTGATTGGCGAAGCCACAAGATGGGGGGGACCCAGGTCTACGGAGTAGAACTGTCCCATCTCTTCAAGCCTCTCCCAGCCCGGACTTTCACATGCAAGAGAGAAACTAAATTCTTTCACCCATGGAAACTGAGCTTTTGTTGAAGCAGTCTCAAATCCACTTCCTACTACAGTGCCTCCCCCTCCCAGAAGTTGAATGAGCCAAAGGAATGCCTGGAGCAGGAGCTGTCTCAGAGTTCCTGAAATCCTAAGCGGAGGCCCTCTCCGGATCCAGTGTTTATAACAATGATCCCAGTGCCCTCTGATATCCCAGGGCATCACTCAGTTCATTTATCATCCACTTGTTGGGACAGCATCGTATTTCATTGTGTGGCATATGTCTAAGGTCATATGGCTAGCGCAACATTGATGCCAATAGCCACTAAGGTCCCATTCATCAGTCAATGGGACCACTTCATGGTTTACTGTGAATCTGTGAGGTGTGTTACCTGAGGAGTAGCTCATCTCCACTTACAGAAGAGGCATGAAAGCGTGTCAGACAAGAGCCCAGGGTTAATAGAAACTCTGATTCTCAGATTTACCTTTAAGAGCTCTTGACATTTCGTCAAATTAAGAATGGTTTTCTCTCCTTGGAGATTAGGGTCCTTTGGCACAAGCCAGGGAATACTATTAAGAAACCTTTCTTTTCCCTTCCTTAAAGTAGTTGTGTAAAGGACAATTAAGCCGCAGAAATGCGAGCACTAGAGAAAACAGGAAGTTGGACAAAAGGCGGCATCATGCAGGTCAGGGGAAGTGTAGTGGTTACTAGCATTTGGAAGTCAGCGGTTACGGGTTCAAAATAGTTCTTGTTCATGTTCAACCACTGGAAAGCCTTCAAAATGCCAAGTAGTCAATGGTTTCCAGATGAAAGCGTTTTTCAAAAGTAATAAAAACTCTCTCACTTCTGATAACATCTCAGCTTACTGAGCGAAATAATGAAGGGCCTTTTACACCACACTGGACTCACTTCCTGGAAATTCATAAATACCAGGCCACAGAGCGTGACAAGTAACTACTAGACAAGATGGCCACTCGGTGTGTTTAGAGAACTGACTCGTGTGGGAAAGACCCAAATGTCTGGTCCTCATGTCAATGTCTCTGGACTGAAAAATCACCAGAGATGGAGGCAAAGAGGCCCCAGGTGGAAGTGGTAAGGCAGGGCTGGAGAGGCAGAGAGCGGCAAGCGGCCACATTAAGGGGGAGGTTCGGCTGTCTGTGGAGAATCCACGTGTTCTTTTCCCAGAATCGAAGCAGGGATGGAGACTATGGTCTTTGAGTTGAAAGACCCAGATTTGAGTTCTAACCTGGCCCTGGATGTCGCAAGCTGGTTCCTAGGTAGACGCACAACTACCCAAGGAGCAGATGTTCTGCCGACTGCAGAGGGCAATGTGAGGAGGCAGGAAGATGTCTGCGGAGATGCGTCAAGTGCCACACATTTTGCTCACTCTTCTTTTGTTTGTAAGTGCAAGTCAGTGTAGGCAAAAAATGATATCTTTTACTTCAGATGGTGGACAGTTCTCAGAGCGGATCATGAACACCCCATTTCCCTTCCTCACCGGTGTATGGAAGGACTGAAGTCCTCTGTCCTCATGGGGTTGGCTTGTTGCTTCTGGGAGGAAGCTTCAAGAGTGCGCGATCTGCCATATCCCCTCATCCTACCTCAGTGACTGTGTGGGGACAAAGTTTCCACTGTCCTTAGTGACTGTGGTGAGGAGAACACTTACTCCCTGTCCCCCCACTCTTCATCGGCTGGGTCGCAAAAATAAACGTACTTAAAAGCTGCTGCAACCTTGGGAGTGTTTGTTACTGCTGCATAACCTCCCTGTGACTGCATTTTATCTTCCGTATTCTTGACGCTCTGGCATTTGGGGCCTTGATCCTGGAGACTCTCCCTCCCTGTGCTAATTCCTACCTCCCCGGAGAACAAGACTTTGATACAAAAATCAACCAATCCACAGCCACACCGTGAGGTCTTTTACCAAACTCTCCCACACCAAGCAACAGTCTCCCTGGCCCGAGTCACCCCAGGCCCAGGTACCGCACTAGTAGGGACCACTTCTGTAGTCCAGAGCCCGCCGGAATTGTTCAAACTAGCCAATCCCGAGCTGACTTGATGGACCTATTCTGCCTTGCCCGTTCCTCCCCGTGAAAACCCCAATAAAGTCTCGGGCCATGCTGTCCCCTTGCGTCCCTGCCTCCTGACCATCTCCGGTCTTTCCCCAGGTGGCCCTGTGTGATGTGCCACACCTCCTGATTCTAGAGATCGCGTGCATAAACTTCGTCCTTCGTGACAATAGTTTCCAATCTTACCAATCCCGATAAAAGGAAATCCTGGGTACATTTTAACACCAGGAGAGAGCAGGAGGAGGCTGGGAATGGCATCAGGCACACCGGCTTCTCCGGTCCTCTTCCCAGCCTCTGGGTTCTGCTTTGCTCTGGCCTGGCCTCTCCCCTTGCAGATGGGCTTTCTCTGTGTGGCAGAAGAAGGACCTTCCTGGCTTCACTACCAGCACCCAGAGGCGGGAGATGGTTTTTGCGGATTCCAGCAGAAAAAGCCAAAGAGAAAGCCTCAGGCTGGCCCAGTTCGAGTTATGTACAATCATGACACAGTCTGTGGGCCAAGCACATTGGTTAGGACTGAGCCACGCACTGCCCACTGTGGCCTGGTGGGTGGAAAGTGCTGGACAGCCGGAGGCACAGGCGGGGTGATAGGTCTAGCACTGCCCTTTTGTGGATGGAGTCTGGACGTCCAAACCTCGCCATGTTCTAAGGAAAGGACAGTTTACGGACTGCTACTCGTTACACAAAGTACTGCTGGGAAATCAGACAAGCACTGAAGGAGGGAGCTTCCTTTGAGATCCACAGAAGCTAGGAGGTTTTTCTGAGATAGGATCAGACCAACTAGAAATACGGTATCCACAAACAATCCATCCTCCCCATCAGTGGAAAACAAACCCCGTAAGTGAGCACATGAGGTGAAGGGTAGCAAACATTCATTGAATTTTCCGGTTATTGAATGCCCTCCACATGGAATGCACCCAGATGGTTCTGTTCAGGTCAACTTGACTAAAGGAACATCCAAATGCCCAGACACCTATGCTGCTTCAAGTGATTTTGTTATGGCTTCCCATGGGAGGTCCAGAGAACAGGGATTGGGAGAACTCTGTGAGTCACAGGGACCAAAAGGGAAACAGAGGGGTTGAATTCACAAGGCTGAATTCAACCTACGATCAGGGGCTCTTAATCTGGAAACAGTGGGCTGGCTTCCAGGGTCCATGAAGCCCTGTCACTGACTGTAAAACACGGAATATTCATTTCCTACAGAAAGGATCCACAGCTTTCACAGATTATCAACGGATACAGCCGCCACGAAGTCAAGAACTGCCATTTTAAGAGAAGTTTGCTCAGCTTCCAGGAAACAGCAAAGAGGAGCTGGGGATTTTTTTTTCTTGACATTCCTAGTGTCTTAGCAGTGAGTTTTCTCATCTCTCCTTCAGTTCCAGCACTTTCCGAATGGAGCCAAAGTCACAGACCTCCACCTCCCTTGCAGAGTCCCGTGTGGTAGACAGAAAGCGAGACAGATCTGGGCCCAGGTCCTAAGGAGGCCACTTCCCGGCAGGCGACTGGACTTCACGGAGCGGATTTCCCCACTGGTGACATGTGCCGTCCATCAGCCCTGCCACAGCAGATGAAGCGATGGCAGGAGACAGCCGTCCACCTCCCTTTCCTTTAATAATCAGCGCTAACGTGACCGAGCCTTTCTTCACGAAAGCCCTGCAGAGTGGGTACTTTAGTATCCCCGTTTAGGTGGTCTGAGACCCGGAGGTCAAACACCTCGTCACTGAGGCAGAGCTGGCTTCCGACCCCGGCAGCCTGACGGGGCCCATCGTCTCTCCCCCGGGTTCCACCTGCCCCCACCCCGTATTCACGCACTGCCCAGAAGCCGTCAAAACGGGCACTCGGCAGGCTGGGAGCCGCCGCCGTGGGGTGATGTGGATGGCGAGGCGGCAGCCTCACACAGGGGTCCCTGGGATGTGACAGGCACATGCCAGGGATGGCTCAGCTCTAAGGGGCACATCCACGCTAGCTCTTAACGGGCAGATACTGTCAACCTCGCTTTCCTTTGCTCTGCATGACAGACAAACCAGGAACGTGGGAGGGTCCCAAGCCTGGTTTCAGGTCACGCCATGCCCATGGGCTTAGCTGGGAATCGCAAAGTTGGGATCATCTTTACGAACATGAGGCAGCACTGGCCTGAGGCAACAACTCGGGCTGAGGACAGAAGCTTCGAGGAGCATGACTAGAGTCATGAAGTTTTCAGAACTGTTATTTATTTCCAGTCATTCCCACGTCTGTAGCCTGGAACGGCGGCACGATACCAAGGAAGGGCCCTCTGGCTGTGCGAGGGAGGAGACGAGCAGCCATCTCAGACTCCCTACGCTGGAAGGAGGGCCGGCAGGGTTGAGGGGGCTCGGAAGGGCTCTGAGCGTAGGCCAGGGCGGAGCATACCGAGGTGGCCCCGCTCTGGGGACCCGGCCAGCTTCCCTGACGGAGGGGTGGAACTGCGGGTCACCGCCCTGTGTTCCAGGGCTGCCAACTCGTGAGTCACACCTGCCGCTGGGAAGGAACTCGTTAGATGAGCTCCACAACGGGGCCCGGATTTTCCAAGCAGCCACACACGCAGCTGCTGAGGCAGATGCCCCCTCACACGGCTCCGGCGGCGATTAGGTCTTCCGGCGACGGAGGCTTCTGCCTCGGAAAGAGGCGAAGATAATGAATGAGGAGAACAGCGTGGGGGCGCGGCCGCTTCCTCCCAATCCAGCAGTGCCTTCCTGGATGGCAGCCCCCTCCCCGACCCAACCGGCCGGCCTGCCGTCGGCCGCAGCTGCCGCTACAGGGACGGCCGGGAGGCGCTCCGCCGCTGGCCGGCAGCTGGGACCCGGCAGTGGGGGCGACGGCTGGCTGGGGTCATTTGTTGGCCACGGCAGAAAGCTGGTCTCGGATGCGGCCCAGCCCGTCCAGCATAGTGTCCAGCGTTTCCTTACTCAGCTCCACGGTGACAGCTGAGACGGAGGGCTTGTCTCCACACAGACTAGGATCTTCCTGGATCTGCAAAGAGAACGTGGCCCAAAAGTCAGAGCCGCCCCTCTTCCCATCGCCCTGCAGGTGAGCCCTGGACCTGGGAGCCCTACCCGGCTTTCCTGAACCTCTGAGGACAGGCCCTTGGCTCAGAGCTACACAGCGTCCTAGCCCTGGAGTTGTTTAGCACATGGGATTCCCAGAGGCTCGGGAAAGTTTCCATCCATAAGGGGTGCTGAGGGAGAGTATCGGAGAAGCCGAGGCTCACTCACCCCTCGGACCCCCGACTCTGGGCCGTCGAGTGAGAAGGCGCTGGGGGGCCCACACTGCTGCTCCACGCAGAGGGAGCCAGGGTACATGGGACTCCACCGGGGTGCAGAATAAATATTACAGCTTCTAGTTAGGGTTATCTGTTTCTTTAAGAACAAAAGAAAAGTCTACTAATATCTAAAGACTTAGTTGTTAGAGGCACCCCTACTTTTTCATTTTCTTACAGGTGTGATTTTCTGGGTGTGTGGTTAAGTGAACACAGCATCACTAAACAAACCCTAAAATGGACATGCAGTTTAAAAAGATTCCCGAAAGAACTGTAAAGTGAAGGTAACACCGAGGAGGCAAGAGTGTGCAAACAAGAAAACGAAGGGCTGACAGTTGTCTAACTGCTAACAGGAGCTCCCGCTCAGCCACGTTACAAACAGCAGCGGCCAAATCCACCGGACAGGCAGTTGCCCGAGAGGCACCAAAATTATCAAGAGGGCAGTCTGATGGCACGCGCCCCCGTGGAAGCTAAACTTTCCCGTCAGTGTGTTAGGTAAACTTCAGGGATCAGCAAACGGTTTTTAAAACTTGTGCTTTGTGTCTGTCTTACCACTTTAAAATGTCTACTTTTGGTCTATGTTTTATTATGTCTGTAATATGTTAATACAGTAGTATTATGTATACTTGACAAATAAAGACTCCCTCTGGGTGCTAAATTTTTTCCTACGGGCTTACAGGTCCCAGAGCTCGGGGACTGGCATTTTCGATGGCATGCGGGGTGTCAAGTCGCTATGGCCCCTTCGTTCCTTCTCACAAGCACGGCGGCAGACGTACCTTCATCTGGAGCAGGCAGGTGGGGACGGCCATGCGGCTGATGCTGTCAGAGGAGGTTTTGATGTCCACTCTCCAGTCCAGGTCGACTAGGCGCGGCAGAGAGACTGTGAAGGAGACAGCCCGGCTCAGAGCTCACGCCCCTCGCCTTCCCAAGCCCTTACTCTGTGACAGCCAGCCCCGATGGCTGTGTCATGCTCCCGGGCCACAGAGCAAGTCTCTGAGGGAGGCAGAAGCCGGGGTTCAAGACCTCACAGGAAGTCACAGGCCTTCTTCGCTACCGCTCTGTGCTGCCTGTGCTTAGCACCGATTCACGGTGGGCGCCCGTCCAGGCTTCTGCCGGCACACACGACCCTCCAGATGTCGGCACAGAACGAGAGACAACACAAGGCAGGGAAGATGAGGTTGGGCCTGAGTCTTAGGAAATGTGTCGCTTCGACAACAGTGGAGAGAGCTCTGGTTTGAGAGGGAGAGTCGGCTTGAAGCTGGGTTCCACCACTTCTCTAACCTCTGAGCCTGTTTCCTCATCTGTAAAGTGGGGATAACCTTAGCCTAGCTCCCAGGGGTGGGGGTGGGGAGGACCAAATGAGTTAATGCTAGAGTTTGTCAACACTGTGACTGGCTAGTAAGTATAGTAATCATTTATGACATACCTCTTTTATTTCAATCTTTCAAACTAATTCAATTTCCATTACTGTTTTTTTCCTAATGGAAATATAATAGTTTTAAGTACTTCACTTTCTGCTTTGCATATTTCCTTTTTTTATATAAACAACATACCCTTATTATATGAAGTTCACAATCAGAAAAAAAACGAAAAAGTGATTACGAAAAAGAAAAGCACAACACACAGTTCACCGGGATTAGGTTAATGCACACTGAGTTCTGGTTACCAACTCCGGCCGCCTGGCAGATGTAGAGCCGGGGCCGGAAAGGAGGGTAGGGAGGAAGGTGGGTTTCTTGGTACTCACTCTGATTTGCTTGGGCTTCAGTTCGCCAAGTGGAGCTGTTTAAGAGGGAAAGATGAGGAAAAAATAATGGAAGAGGGATGAGAACCGATAACGAGAGAGGCCCGTGGACCTGGACCTCTACCCTTCCGGGGTCTTTAAGCCTGTAATCACTTCCTGACGGGAAAGGACCACAGAAATGTTTGGCGCCAAGAAGCAGTTTTCTGTCTATTTTACACAACTCAGTGATGTGAAGGCCTTAAGTGCTGTTAGTTTTCATAGCTTAGAAGGGCATCTGGGTGGCTCAGTTGGTTAAGTTTTCATAGGTAGGGAAAAAGAAAAAAAGAAAAGGCTTATGCACGGCATTCGCCCTGCACTATCGTTCTCCGAGACAAAACAGGAAGGGTCAATCTGTTCTCCTGTACTGAGCACCCGCTCCACAAAGTAATGCATCTTCTGCAGACACACCCGAGCAGACCTGTCTAGTGCTACGGCAAAGAGCGCCACAGTGAGGTGCCAACCACAGGCAAAATAAAACATGGTCACGTGTGAGGAAGTTTCTGAAAAAATAAAACCTTTGGCAATAGGCATTATCTGTTATTACAATTCTGTTCAAGCCTACTGCTAACCAGCAGCTAATTGGTTCTGCTTAAATTGTATGTATCCAAAGGATTTTCCCAGAAAATATTTAGATAATTCCCAAAAGAAACAAAAATGACTGATTAAACATATGAAAATGAGGGGTGCCTGGGTGGCTCAGTCGGTTGAGTGCCCGACTTTGGCTCAGGTCACGATCTCGCGGTTCAAGAGTTTGAGCCCCACATTGGGCTCTGTGCTGACAGCTCGGAGCCTGGAGCCTGCTTTGGATTCTGTGTCTCCCCCTCTCTCTCTGCCCCTCCCCTGCCCGCCCTCTCTCTTGCGCTGTCTCTCAAAAATAAAAAAACGTTAAAAAATAATTTAAAAAAACACATGAAAAAGACATCTGACATCACTAGTATCAAAGATACATAAACTGAAATGAGGTGCATTTGCCATCTGTAAACTGGGGGAAAACGTGAAACAAATTCCCTCCGTGCTGATGAAGGCGTGGGGACGGGGCTCTTGTGTCCTGCTGGTGGAACAGTTGGCGCAACGTTTCTAATGGCCAACTTGAGAATATAAAGCAAAGCCTCACTATGGCCTTTAACCAATAAGGAAATGATTAAGCATGTGAGCAAAACTTCCACAGTAAAAATTTTCACTGAAGTGAAAGCTGCCATTAGCCTAAACATCCAACACTAGGGAATTTCTTAACTAAATTATACACAATTTCTCCACATGAAGAATACATTTAGTCATTAAAAATGACACTGAAGATAAATATTGCCCCGAAATATGATTATAAAAGCATTACAAGGAATTCTCAAGAAACGAGCACTTACATGTGTTCCAGGATGATTTTCGTCAGCAGGTTTTTGAGGTTTTGGTGGAAATTTTCAGGAAAGAGAGCCAGGATCGCCTCGGCAGAGGACAGGTCACGGAACACAGCCAGCCTGGTGAGGCGGTGCAGAGCCTGGAGCAGCTGCGGGACAGTGTGGTGACGGGGCGGGTGGGGGTGGGTTTGTGCTCCCCGAGGGCCTGCGACTCACTGCCACAGTCACCTGAACGGTCCCATGGGTCCTGACGCCCATGGGCCTTGGCCCACCCCTACGTCCACCTGCTGATCTAGAAGACAGGTGTAACTGCCTGACCTAGGAACCTGTCAACATGCCAGAAACTTCTGCTTGGGAACAAAGGGTTAATAAGCCCTCTTTCCTTGTGCACAGAATCTGACCTTCAGTTCACTTTCCAGCCTGTTCCCTGGTAACGCGAGAGAAGTGAAAAGTTAGCTGTGTTACTAGGCGACACTGGCTCAGGTCACTGCCTGGGGTCACTGTCTCGGGACCAGGAGGTCCGCATGAACTCCCTGAGCTCGGCTTCCGGCTGCACACTGCCTGCCCCAACCTGAAGCTGGGTGTACTGAATCGTTACGAGATACTGGCTCCCGAGGGGGCTGGCCTTTCAATCCAGGGTGCCCTTGTCCCTAGGCTATCACCGAGGAGGGCAAAGAGAACAAATGGATCAGGTGGCTGTGCTAACTGCCCAGGGGTGCCTGATGCTGCCCCGCGAGGCTGCCGTGTTCCACTCTGTCCTTCCAACCAATTGGGCAGCCCAATGTGGCCTGCGGTCGTCTGGGAGCCTAACAGTGCTTAGCTGAAAGCAAGAATCCGGAGGGAACTAGGGCTCTTTTGGATGCCGCGGGAGGACCTGCAGCCTCAGAGGCACAACCGAGAGGTGAGGGGGCATTAGCCCTCCACTGATGAGGGTGCAAGTTAGTGGATCGATGCCCTCCAGGGTGGCAATTCAGGGCTGTGTTCCCCAGGGTTTCTTACAGGATCCCCTGATTGAGCGCTGTCACCCACAGCAGTAACCAGACATCAACGCAACCCTTCGCGGCTTTGCTCTCCTTCCCTGCTGGGTTTTCCCCACTCCCTCCCTCCTCCGTGCTTTCCAGACTCACTTCCCCAGGGAATTACGTGCAGCCAACTCTTCGCCTCAGGGTCTACTTTTGGGGAACCCAAACTAAGTCCAGCTCGCTTCTATAATCTGGCTTCTGCCTTTTACTGTTCTATCACTGACTTCAATGAACAGAGCTCTGGGTTAAAAATAGCAACAATAATAATAACAACAACAACAGAAGCAACAACATAGGTCTGTTTGGATGAACTCCTGTTTTAGAAACCTATCTGCCCTAAAAAGAGAAGGCTGTGAGTACTGCATGAACTCACTCTTCCTCTTGGCCACCCGCTGAGGTCAGGTGGGGGTCCAGGAGCATGTCCCCTGACTCATACTCAGGCCTTGGAGCCTCTGCCCAGTGATCCCGAAGAAGTCTGTCAAAGCTATCTGGCTGACAATCTAACAGCAGAGGCAGGTTACAGGGAAAGAAAATCACAGAAAGGCTGGCTTTGGTCCACACTGTCTAGGGAACAGGTCTAAAAAGGAAATGGCCAGGACCTCTGATTCTAGGTATAATTCTCCCATCCAGGCCTCATTTATCATAAGGAAGTGAAGGTTCAAAGACCTTCCTAAGTTCACTAGCATTAAAAAAAAAAAAAAAGAAATCTATTTTAAGTTTGTTATAATGTCAACAGACATTTCAGGGGAAATATTTCCTTAGATGTGGCAATGACTGGGACGTTAAGAAAGAGCCTAATGAGCTGAGAAGCCAGTGGCCAAAGGTCATTTCTGACCATACTTACCTGCTCTGCTTCCTCCTGGGTCACAGACAAGCTGGAACATGTCATATCCAAGAGTTTTTTTGAGCCAACAGCTGAACTGGAAAAGCTCTCTTGGCACAGCTGTCTGACAACATCTTTTGAGGAGGCCTATGAATTAAATCACAGGTGGGGGAAGAAACCAATTCAGACTCTGAACATACATGTTTTAGAGCATAATACTGTCCCAGTCATGGTGTGATACCTTTGAGACTCAAGATTTAAAGGTCCCAGGGCGCCTGGGTGGCGCAGTCGGTTAAGCGTCCGACTTCAGCCAGGTCACGATCTCGCGGTCCATGAGTTCGAGCCCCGCGTCAGGCTCTGGGCTGATGGCTCGGAGCCTGGAGCCTGTTTCCGATTCTGTGTCTCCCTCTCTCTCTGCCCCTCCCCTGTTCATGCTCTGTCTCTCTCTGTCCCAAAAATAAATAAACGTTGAAAAAAAAAATTTAAAGGTCCTTAGGACACTTCCATTTCTGGAAAGATGAAACAGATGTACTTTTCCTTAATTTTTCATTAGAAGCATAACGAAACCCATTGGGCACAATTAAAACCACATACAGAAAACAAACGCAAAATAACTCTGACAGCGGGGGTGGGGAGGCAGGGGGAGAGGGGAGGATCGGGACCTGCTGTGGACTCCATGACCAAGAAATGACATGGTGGTGAGTTTACTGGATTCTCTTTTTGTTTGTAAATCGCAGACTTTGAGCTGAAGAACAGGGCAACCCACAATGCCAACAGGTACACAAGAACAAAACCAAAAACTCCAACAAATACTTGCTCTCTCTGGCCAAAAAAGTTCAGCAAGATAGAAAACTTTTAAGTGATAACAGCTCTACTGCAGCTGAACACCAGAGAAAAAACGATAGCCCCACTCCCGCCTATGTCAGCAAAGGCTGAGTGGGGAATGCAGACTTCCACCCTCTGCTGCTGCAATGCGGTGTCCCAATGCCCCCACCGGGGTAGTGTCAGAGAAGGCCAAGTAGGGAGCTGGGACCTTCATCCACACTGAATGACAGCAAGTCCCACCACCCCATGGTATTAATAGTCACCACATGGGGCCAGAACTCCCACCCCTGCCCCATGGTCACAAGGAACCCCCACTTTTGGGTGTCAGTAGCAGCCAAGTGCAGAACCTGGAATTTTATCTCCTTCTGGTAGGGGAAATCCTTTCCCCCTACCCAAGCAGTGTCAGAGAAAGCCAGCTAAAACAGAAGATTTAAATAAGATCCAGAATCTTAGAGTATAATACCAGAATGCCCAGCTTTCAACTGAAAACCATTCATCATGCCAAGAGCCAGAAAGATCAATGCAAAAAGATAATCATTAGATTCTCCACATCAAGATAAGAGATGTTAAAATTATCTGACAAAGATTTCAAAGCAGCCATAATAAAAATGCTTCAACAAGTACTTACAAACACACTTGAAACAAATTAAAAAGCCAGAAAGTCCCAGCAAAGAGGGAAGATACAAATAAGAACAAAATGGAAATTTTAGAACTGAAAAAATACAATAACCAAAATTAAAAGTTTGGTAGATGGGCTCAGTACCAGAAAGGGACAGAGGAAAGAATCAGTAAACTGGAAGACAGAACACTCGACATTACCCAATCTGCACACAGAAAACAGACTGAAAATAATAACAGAGCCTCAGGGGTCTATGGGACTATACCATAAAAATCTAACATTATGTCACTGGAGTCTTAGAAGGGGAAGATAAAAGAGGGCAAGGCTGAAAAAGTACTTAAAGAAATAATGGCTTAAAACTTTCCAAGTAGGGGTGCCTGGGTGGCTCAGTCGGTTAAGTGTCCGACTTTGGCTCAGGTCATGATCTCACGGTTGGTGGGTTCGAGCCCCGCGTCAGGCTTTGTGCTGACAGCTCAGAGCCTGGAGCCTGCTTCGGATTCTGCGTCTCCCTCTCGCTCTGCTCCTACCCCAACTCATGCTCTGTTTCTGTCTCAAAAATAAACAAACATAAAAAAAAAAAAAATTAAAAAAAAAAAAACTTTCCAAGTTTAGCTACAGACATAACTGTATACATTCAAGAACCGAAGCAAATTCTCAAGAGGATAAATCCAAAGAAACCTATACCAAGACGTATGTCCAGCAAAACTAAAGGCAAGGAAAAAAAATCTTGAAACCAGTGAGAGAGAAACAATATCTTATCTATATGGGATAATGAGAATAATAGCAGATTTCAAATCAGAAACCATGGAAGCAGGAAGGCAGTGGCACAATATTTTTCACAATATTTACAGATATTGGAAGAAAAACGATCAACCTGGAATCCTACACCAGCAAAAAATATCCTTCAGAAAATGAAGAAGAAATCAAGACATTCTCAGATAAAGGAAAACTAAGAAAATTTGTCACAAGACAAAAGAAGTTCTCTTAACAGAAAGGAAACAATAAAAGGAACCTGAGAACATCAGGAAGAAAGAACACAACAAACAAAAATAAGGGTAAACACAATAGACTTTCCTTGTCTTGAATTTCTAAATTCTGTTTGAAGGATGAAGCAAAACTTATACCACTGTCCAATGTGGCTCTAAATGTATGCAGAGGAAATAACTTAAAGGCAATTATATTATAAACAAGGGAAGGGACTTGAAGGAAGATAGGGTCTCCACACTTCATCTCTAACTGGTAACATGAGGACACTGATAGATTGTGATTTATGTATATAAATGTAACGAGAGGAACCACTAAAAAGATTAGAAAGAGAAATTAGAAAGAGAAATATATTTTAAAATGTTATAGATAAGAGGGAATGCCAAAAATGTGTTCAAATAGCCACAGGAAAGCAGGAAAAAAGTAAAAACAAAAAAACAAAAAAACCTCAAAAAACTACAATATCAGGAGCACCTGGCTGGCTCAGTCAGAAGAGCATGCAACTCTTGATCTTGGGGATTGTGAGTTCAAGCCCCACACAGAGTGCTGAGATTACTAAAAACAAAATAAATAAACTTAAAAAAATAAATAAATAGAAATAAAAATACACATCATTTGCAACTGCTCAAAAAAAGGAAAATACTTGGTGTAAATCTAGCAAAACATGTACAGGACTTGTATGCTAAAAATTACCCAACACAGATTAAAGAAATCAAAGATCTAAATAAGTGGGGAGCTATACTATAGATTGGAAGATTCAGCACACTAAAGATGTCAATTCTCCCCTAACTGAAATACAGGTTTAACACAATTCTTATGAAAATCTCAGCAGGTTTTTAAAACTATAGACAAAATCATTCTAATATTTATATAGGAAGGCAAAGAAACTACAATAGCTAAAACAATTTTGATAAAGAATGAAGTAGGACAAATCAGCCAATCTGATTTTGAGACTTATTACATAGCCACAGTAATCAAGACCATGTGGTATCATCAGAGGAATAAACAAATAGATAAATGAAACAAAACAGAGAATTCTGAAATAAATTACACAAATTTATCCAACTGATTTTTTTTTTAAGTTTATTTTTATTTTGAGAGTGATAGAGAGAAAGCAGGGGAGGGACACAGAGAAAGGGAGACAGAATCCCAATAGGCTCTGCACTGTCAGTGCAGAACCCAACGTAGAGCTCGAACCCCTGAACAGTGAGATCATGACCTGAGCTGAAATCAAGAATTGGATGCTCAACGGACTGAACCAACCAGGTGCCCCCCAACTGACTGTTGCCAAAGTAGCAAAAGCAAGTAAATATGGGAAGGGCAGCATTTTCAACAAGTGTACCAGAACAACTGGCCATTCACAGGCAATAAATAAATAAGTAAATCTCAAACTGTCTTACACATGTTATGCAAAATTAACTCAACGTGGATTATGTACTTAAATGGAAAACGCAAAACTATAAAACTTTTAGAAAAAAGAGGAGAAACTTTGGAGACCTACGGCTTGGCAAAGAGTTCTTAGCCATGACACCAAAAGCACAGTTGGTAAAAGGGAAAATTGTTGACAAATTGTACTTCACCAAAATTAAAACTTTTGCTCTGTGAAAGCTCCTGTTATGGGCTGAATGGTGTCTCCCTAAAATTCGTATGTCAAAGTCCCAAATCCCAGTACCTCAAAATGTGATCTCATTTAGAAACAGAATTGTTGTAGATGTAATTAGTTAAGATGAAGTCATTAGTTAAGATGAAAACCCTAATCCAACAGGACCCGTGTCCTTATTTTAAAAAGGGAAATGTAGGGGCGCCTGGGTGGCGCAGTCGGTTAAGCGTCCGACTTCAGCCAGGTCACGATTTCGCGGTCCGTGAGTTCGAGCCCCGCATCAGGCTCTGGGCTGATGGCTCAGAGCCTGGAGCCTGTTTCCGATTCTGTTGTCTCCCTCTCTCTCTGCTCCTCCCCCGTTCATGCTCTGTCTCTCTCTGTCCCAAAAATAAATAAACGTTGAAAAAAAAAAAATTTTAAAAAGGGAAATGTAGACACAGAGATGCAAAAAGGGAGAACACTCTATGAAGATGAGTGCAGAGATTTACAAGCTAAGGTATATGGAATGTTGCCAGAAACTAGGAACTAGGCATGAAACAAACTGGTCCCCACAGCCCTCAGAAGTAACCAATCTGGCCAACACCTGGCCTCCAGAACTGTGAGACAATAAACTCCTGTTGTTTAACCGCGAAATCTGTGGTACTTTGTTATGGCAAACCTAGCAAGTTAATACACCCCTATGAAGAGGATGAAAAGATAGCTACAGACTAGGAGGAAATATTTGCAAACCACGTATCTGACAAAGAACCAGTATCTAAAATGCATAATCTCAAAACTCAAAAGTAAAAAAGCAAACAATGCAATTAGGATATGGGCAAAAGACAAAGAGATCTGTCACTGAAGAAGATATACAGGTGGTAAATAAGCATGTGAAAAGATGTCCAGTATCACTAATCATAAAAAATAAGCAAATTAAAACCACAACGAGGGGCGCCTGGGTGGCACAGTCGGTTAAGCGTCCGACTTCAGCCAGGTCACGATCTCGCGGTCTGCAAGTTCGAGCCCCGCGTCAGGCTCTGGGCTGATGGCTCAGAGCCTGGAGCCTGTTTCCGATTCTGTGTCTCCCTCTCTCTCTGCCCCTCCCCCGTTCATGCTCTGTCTCTCTCTGTCCCAAAAATGAATAAAAAGGTTGAAAAAAAAAAAAAAAAACGAGATGGCGCCTGGGTGGTCCAGTTGGTTAAGCAACTGACTCTTGATTTTGGCTCACGTCATGATCTTATGACCATGAGACTGAGCCACGCAATGGGCTCGGCAGGTGTGCAGCCTGCTTGGGATTCTCTCTCTCCCTCTCTCCTGCTTGTGTATGCGCACGCGTGTGCTCTCCCTCTCAAAATAAATAAAGAAACATAAAAAAACCCCACAATGAGATACAAATACACACCCATCAGAATGGCTCAAATAACATGCAGTGATGACAACGAATGCTGCCAGGATGGGGAGAAACAGGATCCCTGATCTGTTGCTGGTGAGAATGCAAAGTGGTACAACCCCTCTGGAGAACAGTTTGGCAGTTCCTTAAAGAATAAAAAAAAACAAAAAACCCCAACGAACCATGCAGCTACCAAATGGCCCAGCAACTGTATTCCTGGGCATCTATTTCAGACAAATAAAGACTTGTTTTCATATAAAAACCTGTACACCAATGTTTATAGCAGCTTTATTTGTAGTACCAAAAAATCGAAAACAATCTAAACGTTGTATCATGGAAGACTCCTCAACGATAAAAAGAAAATAACTATTGCTACAACGTGGATGAATCTCTAGAGAAAAGGGGTAAGTGAAAAAGCCAATTGCAAAATGTTATGTATTAAATGATTCCATTTATGTAACGTGCGAAATGACAAAATTATAGAAAGGAAGAATGCCAGAGGGCAAGGAGAAGGCAAGGCAGAGGGGAAGTGGATATGGCTATAAAAGGGCAACATGAAGGATCCTGTGATGATGGCAATGTTCTGTATCTTGCCTGTATCAAAGTCAATATCTTGGTTGTGATAGCATACTATAGTTTTGCAAGATGTTACTGATGGGGGAACTGGGTAAAGGGTAAATGGGATCTTTCCGTACTTCCTTTTACAACTACATGTAAATCTATAATTACCTCAAAATAAAAATTCAAAGTGATTTTTTAAAAAAGAAAATGCATAGAATAACAGGAATGAAAATGGATTAACTATTGCTACATATTGGCAAGAAAAAACAGCCAGGAACAGAAAAACCAAATGCTGTATTATTCCTTTCATGTGAAGCTCAAACATGGGCAATATTAAATTGATTTTAAAAGTAAGGACAGTGGCTACCACTGGGTTGGTGAGGGTAGCAATTATGGAACAACGGAGAGATTTGTGCAGTACTGGTAATGTTTTGTTTTTGACCAAAGTGATGGTTACATAGGTCTGATTAATCCCTGAGATGTGCACTTTTCTGTGTGTTACACATTAATGATAATTTTTTAAAGTTTATTAAAGAAAAAAAAGTCCACACAGATAAATACGTAACGGGTGGTCAGAACAGCCACAATGAGGGTTGAAAGGTCCAAGGTGGAAGCTGAGAGCCATAGGTTTCCAATCCTAGCTTTGTTACTTCATTCGTTAATTCATATAACAGCTATGTATTGAACACATGCCGTGTGCCAGGAGTTGAGGATACTTGTTGGGGATACATTTGTGAATAACATAGAGCAGATGCTTTTAGGGAAGGAAAATACAAATGAGCACTGAAGAGACTGTTAAGACAAAAGAGGGACCACTGCATGGACCAATCAATGACGATGCTGTGCCATGAACTGCTTAGTATTAACTCGGCCTTCTTCATCTGGAGTTAAAAAAAAAGAAAAAAGAAAAAAATCCCGATTGGATCTTACATTCTGTAAGAAAGGCAGAAAAGTGTCTACAAGGGACGATAAGGCCGCCCCTTCTTCCACAGGCGAAGTAGAGTTAAACAAGTAATTCCAATCCATCATTTCATTTGGTTTTAAGTAGCCTCACAATCTTTCAAATAATCCTCCGGGGAGTGTTTTGGCCCTTACGCCGGTCAAAGGAACTACAGAAAACCCACGATTCAGGAAAACAGAACGCACGCTTCGCTCAGGGGGCTGTGCGGATGCAGAGGAGAGAGATTTCCCAACTACAGAGCGAAGGAGGGCTGCGGGCTGAAATGGGGAACTCGTAGTGAGGGTCTAGCACTTACTACACCAATCCCGAAAGCCAGCCCCAGAGACTCTTAGTAGGGGGCATTTGCACAGCGCCTGCACGTCCGTTATCTGATTTGTCTCTCCACCATCCAGTCGGGGCGGCATTAATTTCGTGCTCACTTCCAAAAAAGCTCGGAAAGGCGCAACTGCGGGGTCACCCAAAGACGTAGTGGCAGGGTCGCGGCTCCAAATCCGGGTTCCTTTAGTCTTCCCTCTCCTTCCCAAGTCCCGGGGACAAAGACCCGCCTCGCGCTGTCCCCACCCCTCCAGTTTACCTTCAGCAGGCTCTGGAGCGCGGCGAAGTTCTCCACCGTCAACGCGGCCATCTTCCCCGAGTCACCTGACGGTGACACGCGGAGAAGCTCGTCACGTGGCTCCGAGGCCGCCGCAGAGCATGCCGGGGGCTGTAGTCCCTCAGGTGGTGGCGGCTGCCGCGGTGGTGGCGCTGCGGGATGGGGAGGGGCCAATAGGATGCTACCACTGGATGGCTCCGCCTGGGGACCCTAGGACAGTGGAGTTTGGAGGACGCAGGCGCGGGATGATTTTCCCTCGTGGACATTTGCCTGGCTTGGCTACTTACCAGGTCAGGGAAAATCAGTTTTCCCTGTGGGTGGGCTGGCTGCTTTGGGGGATGCACTTGCAGGTGGTATTCACACCCATGTGTAGTCCCCTCCCACACTGTACCAGGATTGGTCTGTGTGGTCAATATCAGGTGGCAGAAGTGATGGGATGTCACTTCTAAGATTATTTATAGAAGACTGTAGCTTTTGGGTACTCTTCTGTCTACTTTTTCTTGACTCTCTTGCTCTGGGGAAAGTAATCTGTCATGCTGGGAGCAGTCCTCTGGAGAGGTCCATGTGGCCAAGAACTGAAGCCTTTGGCCGGTAGCCAGCAAGAAACTACAGCCTGCCAACAACTTCATTACTGAGTTTAGAAGCAGCTTCAGTAGCCTTGGTGGAGCTCTGAGACGACAGCAGTCTTGGCCAACATTTTGACTACAACCTCATGAGAGATTCAGAACCAGAACTACCCAGCTAAGCCACTCCTGGATTTCTGGTCTTCAAGAACTGTATGATTATAAATGTTTGTTGTTTTAAACCACTAAATTTGGTAATCTGTTACATAGCAATAATAACTAACACATGGAGGCAATGAAGCATAGTGGCTTTAGAATTCCATCTAAGTCTGAATCCCAACTCTGCATGTTATTAACTGTACCTTGAGCAAATTCTGGAAATTCTGTGAGCCTCGGTTTCCACATCTCTTAAATGATGTTGATCACACCTACCTCAGAAAGCAGAGCTGACTGATAGGTGTTGCCCCATGGAGGGCATCTCGCTCCCCTTGCCCCCTTGTGGGCAGGTATGATATGAAGAGATCCCATGGGCTCCAGTAAGTAAGAGGCGGGGCTTACAACCCTGCACCATGTCATCCCGTTTTGGTAGAGCTGCGCAGACAGCCACTACCATGATAAATTTAAAGGTTTGTCTATGGTCTGGAGAGCTTCCAGAAATTCCTAAACCATAAATGTTTTCACGGGAAAGAACAGGATAGAATGTCAAGAGTTTCTTTCCATAATTTGGTCCCACTACTTGGTATTTTCCCCATTCTACATATGAGGAAACTAAGGTACAGAGAAGTTAAGTAACTTGTCCAAGGTCACACAGCTAAGTAGTGGCAGAACCCAGATTCAAACTTGAGCAGTTGGGCTCCAGAGTCTGTGCTGTTAACTCCCAAGCTGTACATGCCTCATTGTCTTCTCATAGCTGAAAAGTCATGCTTCTTCTGTCTGGATGTCTGATTACCTTTCCAAGAGGGCAAGAGCAATCTCAGGGTGTTCCTGGACAATCAGCCCAGTGGTGTGATGAGAGACGAGATGATGAGTGGAAGGGGTACCTTTGGAAAAAGACTCAGGTTCAATTCCTGGCTCCTGTGTGCTTCTGGCAAGTTATTTCATCTCTCTGAACCTCAGTTTCCTCATCTGTAAAATGCGAACAGCAATTAAAATACCCTTTGACCATTAGGGGTAACTCAAGGATGACTTACACCCCAAGGAGGGAGGAATTATTCATTCGGAGACTCCATTTTAGCCATTGGCGACTCTAAAGGGCAGAGCATTCCTGTGCTATGAGAATGGGTTGCCAGTAGTGATCACCCACCCGTTTCCCCAAGAACAAGGGATTTCCTGGGCCACAACACTCACAGTGCTAACACTGGGACAGTCCTGGGCAAACAAGGCTAGTTGGTCACCCTCGTTTGAGCCCTGAGCCTTTGAGGGAAATCAGCCTTGTAGAACGTGTCCCGTCTCCTCCAGTGGGGCTAATGTGAAGAGAGCAGTATGGATGCAGTGTTTTTTTTTTTTTTTTTTTTT